CCGAGAAACATTAAAGTATATGTTATTCTCTGTATTTATGTCATTCTGCGTTATTCACTTAAGTGACAGTTATCAGGAATTAAAAGGGAATTTGAAAGGTAAGGCCAAAGTAGCAGAACTGGAAGCAGTTTGACTATTTTAGCCTAAATCTCACTTTGAATTCACTTTTACATCTTACTTTGGTATATAGACAGTCTGTGTATATGCCTGTCGGTGTGTTGCATTCCAAAGGAGCTGGAATGTCATGGAATTTTCTCTAGAATTCCAGATTTTGCAATGCAAAAATTCCGTAAAAATGTTTCTTAATACACACACACACAAAAAAAGTCAAACCAAAGATAACAATGATGGGCGTATTATGAGGAAATAACTCGATGGCTGGATTCTGCTGGGATCCATAGAATACATGAATTGGTGGTTTCTTGTGATTTTGTTTTGTTATTCTCTGTCTGTCACTGTGTATGGATAGAATGAGTGTGTGTGTCACCTCCATCGGGATACAACTGAAAATTGAGAAAATCATTTAGATTTATAGTCACTAATCACTATGTTCAGGATGATCCTTTGGACCTGATGATATATGTAAAGAAGATCACATTTTGAGAACATATGTATCATGCCGACGCATACACATGTGGATACTGGTAACTGATGCAGCACTTAAAAGACTGATTTATCACAAGGAAAATTATAGCTTTATAGATGGGGGTCAAAAGATGAGATTGAAAACATGGGAAGAGGTGGAATAATGGCATCCTGGGAAATATGTGAAGGAATAATGTGTGGTTAAAAGTAAAATGCTTGATATATGGTCATGGGAATATGAAAATATAACATAGCGTGTATTTTATAGAGACTACTTTATGTACTGATTTATAGCTTCTTTAACTAGACACTACTTATCCGTTAAACCTTTAAAATTCTCCTTTTAGCATACTTTACATCCTTTTCTGTCTAATAGTCACGATTTTTGCTCACTGTCGGGGTCCTTATTTCCACTTTGTGACATTTGCTGCCCTCTTTGTCCTGCGGTGATTCATGATTATACTCCTTTCACCCTTTGTGCTTTTTCTATCCTTCGCTTGTGTAGCGATTTGGCAACCCGGAACATTAATGTGCCACATTGACTACCCCCTTTCAGGTCACACTCATTCCAGTGATACATGTTGCATCACTGCCGTACTTCTTGTCGATCTCCATACCATCTGTCTTGAACTTCATACTTAGTATTATCGGGAGTTATGATTAATTGGTGATATCAAGAGATAAAGTTCTCTGTGTCTCTGAATTTAGTACGCAAGTACATAGAGAGAGGAACTCTTGGAAAAAATAAAAATATTTTTAGAGGAACACTATAGTCACCAAAACAACTTTATCTTAATGAAGCAGTTTGGGTGTAAAGATCATGCCTCTGCAGTTTCACTGCTCAATATTTTGCCATTTAGGAGTTAAATCACTTTTGTTTCTGTTTATGCAGCTGTAGCTGCACCTTCCCTGGCTGTTACTCTCACTTTGAAATCTTAATTTAGTAAATAACCCTGTTTGTTTCCTTTGACTCCATAGACTTTTTTATGGGTGGGTACTTTGTCAGTGAAGCTCTCTCCTCTCCTGCTCACAGACCTGTCAGACTTGCTCGTATAATTCAAGTATTTGAACATTTCAAATGGATAATAAATATTAGCCTACAGAGTTCTGCATGCAAAAACATTGTTTATAGGGACATTCCAAGAACCTTAACAAATTAGGTGCATTGCAAATATTATGGTGCTCACTTGCTATGTTGCGCAGTAGTACAAAGCTGCATCTACATCTGGAAACATATCATATTATAAATATTAACAACTTAACCTCCAGAATCAAGAATACATGTTTTTTTTTATTTGTTTTTTTTATCCAGTGCACTTTGCAGGATGAAATGGTGCCACTAAAGCCTCATGCACCCTAATTTATACTTTGGAACTGATTACCAGCCTGTTCAGGAACACATTTCTCTACGAGAAGACTCATTTAATTCCTGCAGGTGTGCTAAAATATGAGATCGCCCCTGCTTTCCAAACCATAAAGGAAGTTTCAATGGATCATATCAATGTATCTATTTTTGTCACCCCTACTGTAGCGGATGGCCCTGGGCTGTCCTGAGCAATTCATGTATTTCTATGCATTCGTATGAAAATAGCAAAGTTCTATGTATTTGATGTATTGTATTCGTCTGAATGTTAGGTAGTTTCATTCCCTTAGTTTGTTCGAATGAAACTACCGAACAGTCAGACCTCCCCTGTGTGAAGTGTGTCCTCAATTACCCGTTGCAACATTGTTGCGAACGGGTAATTGACAAGTGAAGTAGCCGTCCTTTGTTCTCGGGGGTGGCCGCCATTCGACAAACGAACACGTGGCGGCGGCCATTTTAAAACTCCCGAACAGCGGTGTTTTGCCGTCGAGTGTCTGGAACTCAAATCGGACACTCGACTAGGCGAACACCGCTGAAACCTCCACAAGCCCGGTCCGTTCGGTTCCTAACTACCGAACGGCCCCTCGTTCGGTAGATAGAAAGAACCGAACGAGGGGATTCAGACGAACCCTCCCTAGCCTCTATAGCTAGAAGTTTTCATGCAGTTTGTTCCCTTACTCCAGGACCGCATTCGGCTGTTTCACTCAGTGCGGTCGGTCATTTTATTCCCTCCATAAATTTCCCGAACCCCTGGTCTGATCTGGGTGATTTTTGGATATGTTGTTCAGCCAGATCAGGGCTATCAGGGGGTGTAGGATTTAAAGGGGTCCCCCTACGTTTAGGGGTACATCCAGAATTGGGGGAATTACTGTACTGGATAAGGGGATTATGATGCCGGCTGAGGGGAGGAGATGTGTGGGAGGTTACCAGGACAGGATTGGCTACTGTATTAATGAATGTAATCCCTCCCTTGCATGGGGGAATGCTTTAAAAGGCCAGTGTGGATTAAAGATTTCAGTTCTGCTCCTGAAACTGTGTGTTGTCCAGTTATTGGGATTGCTGTTGGGATATTTGTGTGTTATTTTGCCTGCTGGAGACCTTGCCTGTGGATTTACAATTTACTTGTTCCTGAGCCTCACTTGGATTATAAGCGGAGATACCTGGGGAATATTGCATCTCTGCTACACCTAGTATATCGGAGAAAAAAATGCGTGGGATAGGCATTAGGCTATCCTAGACTTAAGAGAAGGCCAGAGACTAATGAAAGTAATTAGAAAATTTAGCAGACTAGATGGGCCGAATGGTTCTTTTCTGCCATCATATTCTATGTTTCTACCACCATGAACACTTCAAAAAGCAGAAGTGGTCATGGTGATTGGAGTAACCCTTTAACTGTACTGCTCCCCAGGAGCAAGAACTACTCACAAATCAAAACACTGTCCCTGTGTCTGTGATGATATGTACTACGTATTATATGCTTTAAAATGGAGCTTCGAGCTTAATCAGATGGTGCACAGACAGTACCCTGACACCACAAGCCATTCAATAAGATGAAGTGGTAATTGTGCCTAGAATTGCATTCTTCTGAATTTAGACTGATTAGTGGTTCAGACAAATTCTGGATCTCCGAATTTTTGTATGGAGGTATAACGGAGCAAACACCTAGTGACGCCTGTGGCGAAAAAAAGAAGAGATGATTTGTGGGAAAAACATGATGGATGGCTGCGGAAAAAAATGCTAAATGTTGATTTTATTCACATACCAAGCGGCCAATAGAGGGGAAAAGAAATAGATGAGCAGTAACACATTTTATTTATTTTATTTTTACTCTTTTTACCTTTATTGGTTTAAATTTTCTTACATAACATGTGAACCAATTGGTGGGGAATTTATTTTATGAAAAAATAAATAAAAAAAAATTAAAAAAAAATTATATATATATATATATATATATATATATATTAGCAGTACACTGATTGGTCCATTTTTACATCCTTTTGTTTTGTCTGAATTGTTTTCATGAATATTTTTCCATGGATGAACTTTGAACAAGCCAAACCGTCAAATGGATGAGTGTCAGAAGTCCCAAACTAAATTTTATTTTTGATAACAAAATGGCTCAGTTGAACCAAACATTTCTGCCATGCTCTAGTCTAATGGTGTCTAAAGGAAATTTAGATAATTAAAGTGACACAGTAGGCACTGTAACTGCTTACCCTAATTTAAGTATAGTTTCTGGAGTCCCTTCGGCGTCATCCTTCAGTTCAGGATTAAACTATTGTAAATGTTTTAATGCTAAATGAGAGTTCCCAGAAGCCCATCCCCCTATTTACTGTTTGTACTAATGAGGAAGCATTAGTTGGAGCAGACATGGCCAGTTGTGTTTGGCTGAGAGTGTGAGCTGACTGTGTTTGGTTACAGCATCTATTGCTGCTAGGGATTTGTATGACTACAAGGAAGTGTGTAATCTCTGTTTTAGCCATACCAGAAAAGCCAGGTTGAGGGTGGCCAGGGACCATAATTTTGTGTTAAACTGCTCAAAATCGTTTAACACTATGTGGAGGGACAGCACCAGGAGACTACAGACACTAGAACCAATTCACTGAGATGAACTTGCTATAGTGTTCCTTTAAGTCATTAATTGAAAAATGTAAAGCCATAAACAGTAAGAAAGAAATGTAACAGGCTTTCCTTTATTTTACAACATATATATTTAATTGTTTGGTATTTTGCAAAGCAATGAAATTAAAATAAATTAAATATTTTACCAGGAAAGATACATTGATATTTCTCTTGTTTTCAAGTATGTCCTGGGTCCACAAAACTATGGTAACACTATAGCTATCTATAAATTATACATATAGATACAATGTTATTTTGTGTAAAGGGAGGCTATAGAAATAAGGTGAAGCTAAACAGCAATCTACATGTGCCCAGTAGGTGGCGCATAGAATCTATAGAAAAATTAGGAATGTCTTCTAAAAAAAAAAAGGAAAGAGGAGGGGAATATTACAAGTAGTGAGCCTCATATAAATCTGAGTACACATCCAATCCTTGCCAACTCATTGTACAGGCTGGCTTTGCTCCTCGCTGATTGGCAGACAGCTCTTGTGACATCAGAGCAGAAACAAAAAGCAAAGGCAAGTGAAAAAAAAAAGAACAAGGACACCGGTGAGAGGTACATGAAAAATACAGTCTCCAAAACTGCCTGCTGCGCTCGGAATAATGAACACAGCATAGGAATCTGGGCATCACTTGTTACTTCCAGCTTCAGGATATTTTGGGATTGGTGATCATTTCCAGATTATTTTAACGTTTTCTCACAGCTGTGATCAATTGCTGCTTTAGGTTGTAAGGAAAGTTAGTGGACACTTTTGTTTTAGTTTTCCAGTAAAGAGAGAGAGAGAGAGACACAGAGAGAGAGAGAGAGGCGGAAATTTAAAAATCGAAGTGTTTGCTTGCAGGATAAAGGTTGCGGCTTGTTACGTTTTCCAGAAAACCCTATAACTTGTATGAAAGTATGTTTAAAAAGAGGCGGACTGGACTGAGGATACATTCAGAGTTCTGCTTACCAGCCGTAGGGAGGAATCGTTTGGAGTAACACCAAGTAATGTGGAAAAAACACAGTCAAAAGAGAAAACCCTCAACCAGACACAAACTCGGCACACAGGTACTGTAAACCTCACTTCAAAGTCCCTGTTATCCTTACTGCATGTACATAATTCTGCACCAGCTCCCTAATAAGAGCTATTCTCTCCATGGGTTGGGTGCTTGGTCTAGCAAGCTTTTCTGCATGCATATCAGTTCTGTATGCTAGTGGGCATTACATGAATGTGCTGCCCCGCAATGTATTATTCATGTGGTTGGGGTAGGAAATGAATTCATTAAGGAATATTTTTTTATTTTGTTCATTGATTTCTATTTTGTTGTAGATAAATGCTAATTATTTACATTACCACACTTTTCATGTGACACCAGTCAACAAGATGCAATAGGGGTCCATAAAATATTATGGTGGACTTGGCAACCCTGTAATTGGGAGACCAATATTAACACTTTAATCTGCAAAGTCTATCAATCATATCCTATGCGGCTGCAATAAGGTCATGCGGGGTGCATTTTTTATAATAAATATTCCTTGAAAATGGGAGAAATAATTATCCTATCCATTGGTGAATCTTGTTTTTAGATGCCATAAAGTTGTTAATAATTAGAAACTAAGACATGCAGCAAGCACGTGCACATGTGTGTTATATTAAAAGCACATTTATGCTATATAGTACTATTTACTAACCTCTCTTCAGCTGTCTAACAATTTGGAAAACCTCTAAGTTTTAGGGAGAAAAAAAAATGTCCATTTCAGATAATTAATAGTTTTAATAGACTATTGTGGCCTTAATTTAACAAGTCAGCTGTCAAACGGTGCAAATTGCTGTTTAGTTAATAGACCCCAATGAGAAGGCTAGTTCACACTTGCATAGACCCCTCTCTTTTTATCTTCTGCTCCATTGATCAATCACAGATCAATTAAATGACTTCTAAGCTTGCACCAGCTAGGAATTTAGTTCATTAAATCTGTTTTCCCAAAACTAAATCAAATGCCAAAGTTGGTCACATACATATAATAAGGCAGCACTTTTAGTGTAACTTAATTACATTTTATACTATATATATTATTTTATTATAGTTATTTATTTTATTTTATATTTTTTTTATTCCCAAGTATACATCCTGCTAAAAGCATGCACTTTTTTTGCAAAGGTTGATTGAGTTCACTCTTAAGCTGTTAAAATTCCAGGCAATGATTGCAACCAAAGTTACTGCTACCCTGAACACTATGTTACTGCTTTTTTTTCCTGATCAGACCCTGATCACACACATCCAGGCATTCCAAGGAGAGACGTTTGTTTCCAAGCCCTGGAAAGGGATTTATTTTATTTGTGCTGGAGTCTTTTGATTTTTTTTTTTTTTTCCCCTTTCTTTGATTTACCGGTGGCCAATTGGCTTAGTTTGATGCTTCACATAGATTTTAACACCTGTACTGAGTTCCTGAGTCTAACCTTCTGATCTAATCTGGCTGCTACAGACACAACACCTTCTCAGAAGGTAAACAGATTCTCCAAGACACGTGCTCTCTCATCTCCGCTTCTGATCTCAGGACATTCTACTTCTTAACTAATATGCAAGGCAGACATGCGCATGATTAACTACTTTATTGAGATTATTTGACTTTAAAATGTTTGTTGCCCATCTCCGCCATTACCTCAAGTAATCTTATCTATTGTAAAACAGGCTTTGATGTCCTGTCTTTTTTTTTTTTTTCTTCCAGGATACTGCATTAAAGTAAAAAAAGAAAAGTTTGCAAAGTGTTGTCTTAATTTAGCTTAAACTAAATAAAACCGGTTTCTCAGGTTGTGTATGGCATTTGTCACAGAATAATCCTTTGGCCTGTATATTTTTAATGTATGACACTACTTTTTATTGCAGTGCTCTTACTTAATCTGTTACAGTATTTCTGTGTGTGTGTGTGTGCTTTGCAAACCTCACCTTTTGCTGTATTTCACTGGTTTAGGGCTGTTTTCAATAAACTGGGAATTGTAGAGACATGACAATGGAACTTGAGAATGATACGGATGATTAGATGGAGCATTTTTATACTTTTTAGCTAGTTTGGCCCAAAATTTGAAATTTCCTGATTGGTCAATGAATTTCTGGTTCCCAGTTTAGTGTATAAACCCTTCATGGGATTGAGAACCTCCAGCTGCTGTAAAGTAATAAAGTCAAGCTCCTATTAAGCACATACAGCATTCTGTGGGCTCCAGAGTTGTTGGTCTGTAAGAGGTTGCCTGTTAGTGGTGTGTAGCCTGACAACTCTTTGCACACATACATTTCTCTCACTGTGTTGCCGCATGACTGATGGATACTTTTTATGTGTATGTCTAAGCACACTGAGGTGCTGTCTACACCTGCTTTTCTTTACTTGGTATGGAGAATCATTTTGTATGTGTTTCATATTGTAAAGGACAGATTGATTTCTGCTTTCAGCTTGTATAAACCTGCAGTAATTTTAGAATCTGCTTTATAGATTGTCCTCGTATCTGGTCATATGATGTATGAAGGCCATGAGAACAGAGTTTAGCATATAACTACAATGAATTAATCGTGTGTGTGTGTGTGTACACGCGCAAACACCAGTCTGTGCATATCTACATGTCATTATTGTCCATAAAAGTTCTTTACATTAAAGTGTTTGTGTTGCAACATCTTCATCCATTAGGTTGACAATGCTAGCCGGGATCCGCTGTCTGCTTCTGCTGCTGCTTTACCAGGTCCTGCTGAGTGGCTGCACGGGTCTGATTCCAGAGATAGGAAGGAAGAGGTACGCAGAGTCAGGTTGGGCATCTCCCCAGCAGTCAATGGGCATCATCAACCAGTTCGAGCTACGTTTGCTCAATATGTTTGGTTTGAAGAGGCGTCCAACACCTGGCAAGAACATTGTGATCCCCCAACACATGCTGGATTTGTACCATATGCATTCAAACCACCTAGATGAGGATCAGGACAAGCCTCCCATGGACCTTCACCGGGAGCGTGTTGCAAGCCAAGCCAACACAGTAAGGAGCTTCCATCATGAAGGTAAGAGAGGGTAACCCTCCTCCTCCTCCACTCCCCTCCGGCATAAATGTACGCAGTCCTTTCTTGTAGTATTGTAGCACCGCAAACAACCACCACAGCAATTGCTACATAGCATATCATCCTCCTGTAGATAAAATGATAGCAGTTGGGGTATAAGAAATAAACTGCATGAAGTAAATGTTTTGTTCCTAGAATCTCTGTATATTTCAGTATAATTCTTTTAAATACAGGTTGTGTTATTTGCTATTGTCATGAAAAAATGTAATGTAAACGTTTTCACCATAAAGGATATTTTTGATTGTTTGACCATGTTACGTGGTAGCTGATTCGTGCCACTTGCTCAACCATGATTGGAAAGACATTTGTGTGGGTTTTAGATTTTTTTTTTTTTTATCAGGCTCTGTAGCAATGGGAGTTGTAGTCCGGATCTCAGATGGCCCAACTCTGGGCGGTCCTATGACTTGACGTCACATTTCCTTGTTCGCGTCCCTGTGAGAGAAGCACTCACTCTAATTAAACTAATCGCGCTTGATCACTTATTTTTGTTTTGTAAATGAATTTGCCCTTTGCAGTGCTGAGTAAACTTTCATGATGTGTTTGTGGTACGGTTTTCCAAAGCCGGCACTCTTGGCCCTTCTTCGTCTTTCAGACTGTGTCCAAAATAACAATTCCCACAGATATATTTCAAGTTTAATTCTAAATACAAGAAAAATCCCCTAATTTAAAGTTGATGTGAGGTTGTTTGTCAAATTTTTAATCCTTATCTAATCCCCGTGAGATAACAGCAGTATTAGTAACTGTATTTGAGGTTTATTTATTTTATTTTTTTCAATTACTTTTTTTTTTTTTTTGTCTTCTGCAAAACCCTGGATGGTCTCGAGTGCATAAACAAAATATCCAAACGTAAGCCTGATAATAGACTTGCAACAGCTGTCTGCTTGGCTGATTGTGATACACTTCTTTTTTTTTTTTTTTTTTGAAAACCGATGAATTTTTATATAAAGATGCTGAGAGGCCTTTTCAAATACAGCCTTTTATTTTTTTATTAGGTGCAAAGTATATCCATAATCTCAAATGGGATACAGCCAGGGCAAGTTATTTTCTAGATTGTTTTTATATATATATATATATATATATATTTTCAGTTATTTACAGTGTTTAAAATATTGTAATCAATTATATTTATTGGATTTACGATGTAATGTTAAACATTGAAATTGGCCTCTATATTTGAAGCTCTGAGGAGTACATATTTCTTCATGAATAGCGTTCTAAGTTGTGTGAACAAGGGGCTATTGAGGAAGCTGTGTAGAGTCTGTAATCAGCAAAAGCAACAATATCGAGGGATATTTAGTATAAATCTTGACAGAAGTCCAAAATTCTATTTTCTTTGCTACTTAAGGTCTGCTGACATTTACCTAGATCAAATATACATATTCTATGTGTTTGCACTATGTGTTTTTTTTTTTTTTTGTTTGTTTTTTCTTTCCTGCTTTTTGTTGTGTGCAAGAGGATTTTATATATAATCTCACTTTCATTTAAAATAATAATGAACAAAATATGGAACGTGCTGTAAAATATATTTTTAAGAAAGACGTTCATATCTTGTTCATGACACTTTGGGTTCTATTGACTAAACTGTTGACTGTGTAGAATTTTTTTTTTAAAGGACATAAAAAAAAAAAAAGTAGGTCATAAAAATTCAGTGGGGGTGAATATTCTACAAATCACCCACTTTTAGTATAAAAAATGCATTTACCATTTCATTACACAATTCCTGGTTAGTAAATGACCCCAGTGTGTCTCGCATGCTCTATTGTCGCTGTTGTAAATAGCTTAGAAAGGGAGAAAACTTCCTGCCAGGTGTCTCTTGTTTGGTAACATTGTTGCAAAATTGTATTACAAAACAGACCAGTGTGTGTCACCCCAGCAGGGCTAATAAAGACTGAATTAGTTCTGAGCTTGACTTGTGCTGGTGTGTGCAACGTCTTCCAGCAAACCAAGAATTGGTCAACTGAACTCTTTGCATTGCAATTTAGTGTAGTACAGTGTGTATGTATATGTGTATGTATGTATATGTGTGTGTGTGTGTGTGTGTATATATATATCGATCTATATTTTTTGTTTTTGTTTTATTTATAAGCAGAAACTAGCCAAAACCCTAAGCAGCGTGCCCAAGTAAAAAAACTAACTTGCAAAAACAAAACTCTTGCACTGCTAGCAGTCCATGTTTTATCCATTTCTTGGCACAATGTAGGCAAATACTTAGAGCTACACTGTCTCATGTTTTGGGTTGTTGTGTTTTGTTTTGTTTTTTGCAATAAAATAAACTAATTTTAAGTTGTCCATCAGATCCTTAGAGGAAAAACCATAGTCGAACAATATGAGCAATAGGGGTCTACGGTGTTTCCACTGCACGCATGAGTTTATCTGTTGAGAACCTTGCAGGATCTTTCACAGACCTATATTTTGTGCTATCAAACAAGCACTGGTGTATGATGCACTCTCCCCTACCCCAGCGATGCAATTTATCAACACACTACCTGGGAGGACTTGGCAAAAATGAGGCGACCCCACACATGCCAGGACTACATTAACTCCTAAACCACTGGCGTGCTTGCATACTGTGTTGGGAACGTGTGTACTAGAGTGATCATTTGCTCCTAATCTTTGCATGCTGCCTAGCTAGCATAACCATAATCCAACACGTGTTTATAAAAGCATACTTATTATAATATTGGTCCCCTCACTTTTTTAAATTTAATTACAATAATAATTTGTACAGCTTCATGTCTGTATTCTCACTGCTGCCTGATCCCTCTCCTGTGAAGTCATCAGCCCTGATGACATTTTGTCCAATCAGGTGATTCTCGTAGAAAGCAATGAAGACCTGGTACATTTGCAGAGATCACCACGGTAGGCTAATCAACCTGCTGCTTCTCTATGTGAAGCATTGGATGCACACAGCATCCAGTGTTGACATGCTTCGCCTTCTTACACCAGATGGCAAGTAGAGTAGATAATGGAATCGACTCTACTTGCCATCTGCAAAATATAAAGAGTAGTGCTGGACAGCATTTATTCCCCAAAATCACTTCACTAAAACGCCTGTGTCGTGGTTTTACTTTTATGTCCCTTCTATCTTAATGGTTATGCTTCTCTCTTTGTCAATTGTTTTTTTGTTTTTATTTATATTTCTACAGTTTTCTTTCTTGTGCCAGATCTCAATATCAGGACAAACTGCCACTGTGTTCCCTTCTATCCATGATGTTTGTAGTTTGCCCTTTTGTGAATTTCTTTTTGACTGATGGATTGTAGGTGAATTAGATCAGCAACGGAAATAGAATGCTTAAGCTACACCTATTGCCCCATGAGAAATAGAAGCCACTATTTTTTCATGTGTATACCTGAATCTAAGGTGATTTAAATAAGAGACAAAATTATTAATTTCAAGCAAAACCTACACCGTATCACTGACGCCTTAAGATTAAGTAATTTTAGCACTTCGATTGTCCCTTTGTGTTATCAAAACCACACAATGACCACTTAGTCAAGAAAGCTGATGAAGCACTATATAGACTATTACTTATTGTCACAGTTATAACATGTTCTGAAACATGGATTAACAATATATTTATTTTAACTTTAATAAAATTTAAGCTCTTCCGTAGTCCCAGCATTGCACAGTGTGCTCTTGTACTTGATTCCTCAAGAAGCAGGGGTTTGGGAAATCCCCCTATATATTGTGTGTCTGATCCTTAATATACCCCCAATGAAAACATACATTTAATTATGCATTTTTCCCCATTGGAATTATATCTAAAAAATAGCTTGCAAAATTTGAGATTTCTTGACTGCAGCCTTCACAAGCGCTCCTCCGTCTAACCCCACCCAGATTTACTGTTCCTGTCCAATCACAGACTTACAAATGCAGCTCAATGAGAAGTCTTTGCAAGGCAATTGTCTAGCTTTTGAGTTTAGCTCCAGTGAGCTAACAAACCAGGAAGTAACAGGGCTGCCTGTCTGACAGCATCTATGGTACCATCTATGGTATTTTATATATACTTTATGGGAGCTACAGCTGAAGGTGTTTTAGTAGATACTGCTGAAATATAACACTTGAGTTAGGAATATGGTGGTATTTTTATTTAATTATTTTCCGTTCTAGGATAATGGGATGCTCACAATCCCATTAGTGAACTTTGGCCAAGCCTGCATCAATGTAACACTATACAATGGGGAAGCCTGTTAATGAGGAATGGGTAAGATAGTCCGTTATCTGGGATTAGTTGAACACGCTACTATATACTAAATTTTTAATGTCATACACAACTTTTTTTGTTGAGTAGAATTGTTCAGGCACCACTTACAACCTTTAGGAAGTCCTCAATGATGAGCCATCACACTGCAGTAGAGTGGCCATGCTGTGTAACCCTCCTGAAGGTTTGACATCATTGTGATTACTGAAGGTGGAACTTTGTTCTCCCATATGGAGAGAAGTTACCCATTGCTTGTAGGGACCCAAATGAATAACCATGCATGCCTATCTCATACCTTGGTTTCCAAATATCAGAAATTTCTGAATATAAAAAAAAAACGGCCTCCTGAATAGAACTTTTGAGACAAGATTCCATGAGTACCAAACAAGACATTTTTTGTTCTCCACTAAACGAATCATACTGCATCTTGTCTTCGCATTTATGGGATGATGGGACAGTAGAATGCCTTCTGGGTTATTGATTTGGTGCTGACTGAAAAGCTATGGGTTAGAAAACCAAAATGCTAAAATAGATGACTTTGAAGCCAAGCCAATCCAGCTATAAGTGTCACTTGGCTCTTGAGTCCAGTTTTTACTAGAGTCCTCTACTGTGTGTGTGTGTGATAAATATAATATTTTATACTGCTTTTTATTTCATAAATGCTCCATTCCAATTGTTTGTGTATAATAATAGTATGAAAAGTGTGAAGAACATCTCATAAGCATTAATCAGTATTGGCATGAGTCACACGGCTTTTAGTATGAATTGACTTTACAGTGCCAAACCGTGTTTATAGAATAATTTATTTAATATGCCTTTTGATATAATTGGGACCCATCAGCTGAGAGATTGCCACCCACTCAGTGACCGCGATTTTATCTACTAGACAGAGGATACGGAACAACACAAAAAATGGAGGCGAAATGGCAGCTTATGAGAACTTTTTATTGGGCTGGTTTAAAACAGGAGAACTCAAACTGGCACTGGAAATATATTTTATTGCCATTGCCTTATATGTAATGGATTATCAGCTCCTCCTGCCTATCCTTTAAATTATGTAATACTCCATACTCCTTGGCAACCAGCATGAGGGACACTAACCAATTTTTGGAGTTTGCGGTTTTCCAACATTGCCTCCATCTAAACAAGTTCCTGGTAATTTCAAAAAGAAATTTGTAGAAAACCATGGTGCTCTCATTAGAATACATTTGTAGACATGTCTAATGGTGTGTTTTCAAGGCAATAGTCTTTGTTTTCTTTTTCTTTTTTTTTTTCTTTTTTTTGTTGTTAGTTTGTTTTTACATTTTTAATTTTCTTTTGATTCCACCCCTCTAACAATCTTCTATTGTGACTTTATCAGAAATTGGACTTTTAAGGTGGACTTGGATCCAGGCAACATATTGACTTAAAGAAGGAAAAACAATTGAACAGAGAAAAAAAATTAAATCCTTATTTTTCATGATATGTGATTTCTCTAAATCCAATGTGCCCTCTAGTGGTGATCATCTGTTCTTGGTTGAGAGAAGTACGGACAGAAAAAACTGTACAGATAGAGTGGAAGTTGGTAATGAACGTGAACTTACTGGAGGATAACAACCTGTTGAATGAATTAAACACAAACTCACAACAAATTTCAACTAGTATAGAAAAGCTCCCATGTTGGCTTAAAAGATACAGTAGAAAGTAAGGATACTAGATCCTAAACATACCCAGAAATTCCTCGTGAGAGAGCTATGATTTTGAAACCCATAGTCTGGCTGAAGGGATATCCAGGAAAAGTGCTACCCCCAATGTAAAAGTGGGGCATTCGTTATTAAACCGTAAACTGATAAACTTCAAAAAAACTAAACAAAGTAGTAGATAATAGAAATCCAAAAAATGCTGTATCAAAAGTATCCAGGAAAAGTGCTGCCCCTAGTTATAACGTGTACCTAAGCTGTGAACTGATAAAAATAAAAACTAGGGGCAGCGCTTTTCCTAAATACTTTTAATACAGCATTTTTTGGATTTCTATTATCTACTACTTTGTTTAGTTTTTTTTTTTGTTTTTTTTTTAAAAGTTTATCAGTTTAGTAACCAGTGCCTCCCTTTTACATTGGGGGTAGCACTTTTCCTGGATATCCCTTCAGCCAAACTACGAGTTTCAATATCTGTTCTTGGTTTTCTGATAAGCATTTGGATTCACCTTTTTCGGAACACGGGCATTTTAAATTTCATATGGTTGGGGTAGTCTACTGGATTTCTCGTGGACGAAATGTGATTGGGTTTTCTAATGTAAATATCCCTTACATGATGTAAGTTTATGAACTGCATCCTTTGGGTGGGGGGTATGTATTTGTGTATTTTTGCTATTCAAAGAGGGAGGTACATGGTGTTATTCAAACTTCACTTTAAAAAACAAAACAAAAAACAATTTTATATGTGAAATTTTAAGTTTGTTTGTGAACAATAAATTGACATTCGTAGAAAGGATAATCCTTATCTCTCTTATAACCCTGCCAATTTCTACATCTCCTCCTTTTGTGAGACATTGCAATGTTCGGTGACTTTTTCCAGATTGTTAAATGGGAGGAATGTATATGTTTGAAAGCACAGCATGTGGAGAAACCACATCTTACTGAGTGATACGTTGTATAGAATGAAATGTTCAGGGATTCCCATCAACCTTGAAGTGCTTATGTTGAACCGAATAATATATCTTTCTCATAGTTGGTTATTCAAGTGTATTCTGGGCTATATTGTTTCCAGTAGGCATTGAGATATTGTATTCAGGTATATGATAAAATAGTATTATACGTAACTGCTTTATGTTGCACATATTTTCTAATAATATCAACACTTTGGCCTTTCCTGCTGGTTTTACTGTCTGTTTTGGTTAGCACTTTTGTTTGTTCTGTGTTTGTTGTTTTTGTGTGTCAGTGTACGGGGTAGAAACCTTTATAGAAGCGCTCAATTTGCTTGAGGTGTGTGTGTGTGTGTGTGTGGGTGGGGTGGGGTGGGGGGGAAATGACCCACTATTGTTTAAGATAATGGTGATAATAACCACTTAACGAGTGTTTAATCAGTATAAAGAATAATTGTCATGTATCATTGACAGAAAGCTGGGAGGCACTTTTTATTTGTTACTTTGAAACATTGAATATGGTCTTGTTCGTGCCAAATGTTGCTCATCTGACAGACTCATAGGCAGTTGGAGACTTCTGAAGTCCTTGATGAGATCAATATGGATTCAATTTAGTCCAGCAAGCATGAAGCTAAAACTTCTAGGTTTAATGAATTTGTGTCTAGCAATAATTTAAAGTTGGATTTGTCTTCCCAGCTACATAGAAACCTAGATTGAATAGACCCCGGAGATTCCACCTCTTGTCACAGTCTGCTTACTACGTAACCTCATGCCTATTTATCTTACTCTCTTCTTTTAGGATATTTTTATGTACACCCTTTACTATTTCCACCAGATGATTATTCCAGGTATCCCCACACCGAACATTTCTCCTCTTCCTAAAATTTTTCCTGTCTGTTTTTATTTTTTTTCATAAGTTTTCAATTTTATCATGCAAAAGAAAATCTTTTCCCACATGTGACCAGAACCCACCATATATTCTGCACTTTAATTCTTTTTTGAGCAAGATGCAGCCCTATTTCATATGTTCATGTAAGGGTTGCAAGATCTTTAGAATTACGCTAAAGACCACTTTAAAGAAAACACCATAGCCTGTAAAAGTCTCCTTTCACATAGACTGCTTGAAGCCCCTGGGAAAACTCCACAACCACTACAAAAAACCATGTGATGCAGGTGTAGACATACCTTGTTTAAGTCAGGAAGAGCGGTGTAGCTACTAACTTTTTTTGTTTGTGGATAATTATTAATTTTTTAATCCAGTCATTGTACATCCATGGTGATTACTAAAAACTGAGGAGTTTGCCTTAAAGTGACACTCTAGTTATGGTGTCTGGAGTGCCTGTGCCATTCCCCTTTTCATTGTTAAAACATTTCCAAACAGTTTGAGATTACAACTTGAGTGTACTCCCTTTTGGGTTTTTTTTAAACTGCAGAGGTACATCTGATGCAAAGGGGATATGGACTGGATAATCCATTCCATGTATATATAAAACACTTTGTATCTAGTTCATTAAAGACATAACTTATTAATTTTTTTTGATAATTATGTAGTTTTTATGATTTTCTGTGCTGAGTTCACATCCTCATCATTCAAACCGGGCTAAAGAAAACTGTGGCAATCAAATGTCCAATTCCTTTCCTTTCCTTTCCCTGGCTTGAAACCTTGGTTTTTTTACTCTAATCGACAAAACACCAAAAAAGGTTGCAATAAAATGTTTCCATGTTTTGTGGACTCTCCTACAAAAATATTGGGAGCCATGTGCACTGGTCCGTGCACATTTTGTTTTATTTTTGTGGCAGAAGGAAATTCTCTAAATTGTGATGCTTTTAAAATTAGGCTCTGATTATGAAAATGAAAACCGCCCTAGAACTCCCTGTGACCTCATTTATCTGCAGAATTCAAATAAACAAATATGTGAAGGAGCAGGAGGGGGTGGGAACTCATTGCCACATTCTGCAGACTTCTGTTGCATGTTCCAAGTAGCTCACAGGAAGACTGTTTAAACACACTTCTATCACATGCACTGTTAATTCCTCTGCTTCTCGTGCTATTTGGCTTTCTGTTACTTTTTTTTTTTTTTTTTTTTACTTTTCAGAGATACTAAGGCCATGATTCATAGATGGTGTTTTAAGAATAAAATACATTAAATCAGAACAATTGTATTTCCCAGAGGGTAGCTCAGTTTTTATTTATTTTACTTTCTCACTATGGTTTATCTGGTTGGGGAGACATAGAACAGTATAAAATAAATAATAAATGGAAAACGTTCTATCTGAGCTATGAACTGGGGTCTGAGGTTAGACAGCCATTTTTATTTTTATTTTTTTATTTTTTTTGTAACAATCCACCTCCCTCTTTGATTTGTAGTTCTGCTCAAGTGTGTAAAGAAAATGTGGATCCTTACTTCTTCTGTTTTTAGAGCAAGATCAATTTTACAAGCGGTGGGGAAAAAAAGAAATGCTGTTTGTTTTTTTTTAAATAAATGTCTTTATTTTTCCTCTTTAAATACTCCCCATCTTTATTTCAAACCACTGCATTGTTTATCATTTTAAAACCCTAATAAGTCTTATTTATTTGATTTATACAATAACCTCTCATACCTCCCAACTCTGGGTTCATGAGAAGCGGGATGTCTGTTTAGCGGCAGGTAAATGGGGCAGGACTTTGATGTGATCGTGTCATTCACTCTGCCGAAAGGGGTTAGACATGCCTGAATTACTGGCAGGTCAGACTGATCTGAATGCAAGCCAGAGCCAGTCTGCCTGCCAATCATGTAAAGCCAGCCCACCGAGGACCCTGCAGAGTGCGCTTTGCAAGGTGCAAGTACCATGAACATAATTCAAGTGTGTCTAATGATGCACCCGCACTATCCTTGTTGGGGACAGAAAATTTGGAATGCCCTACAGAACTCTGGATGGTTGGGAGGAATGCATTTGCTGCAGCTTCTGCGATAGGGTCACAAGACATGCAAGTACAAGGGTGGTCCACCCAAGGAAGTCAGTGTGCCATTAATTGGTGATGGGCCCATTTAAAAATAGTAGCTTGTCAGGGCTTAGTCATACAACCATTAATTATGAGAAGTTTGCTACTTTATACAGCAATTTTTTACGCCATAATAGCCAATGAGGAAAATGCTCCATCTGGACAATACTGCTCTACATCTAGCAAATTCCTGGCAATTCCAGCTTTAATAAATAATTCTGTTTTTGATGGCTTTTAACACTTTACAGTTACCTGGCATTCTAAAATAATTTCCTCCTAAATGCAAAGTTTCTGCATATTAATGTTTAGGAGTGAAAACTGCTTAATGAAGTGCATGACTACATGCTGCTCCAGTGCAATTAAATGGATTAAAGAAATGCTCAAAAACAGCTTGCAAATACCTGACCAGATTTTAATAAATGTATGTGACTTTGCATACATATACCTAAAGTCCTGGATTCGACAAGACAGTCCTAGTTTAGAGCTGATGTCCTCTACCTGTGCACACCAGAGAAATGGCTACCATAAGCACACCATGATTGTATCATTAGCCTTACTTGAGTTGTGCAAATTAAACTACAATACTCTAGTTATGGGAGCCTCCATATGGAAGGCCAGCACTGTTTCTGATGGGCATAGATGCCCGACTGAAGTTACTTTTTCAGATACGACCCATTGATTATTATTTTATTGGCTATGACTTTTGTCTGGCATTTTACCAGTTACTCACAGTTCGTGACATGCCTCTTCCGATCTTCTCCACCTGTGCATACCTCCCCAAGTTGAGTAGTCTATTAGAATAACTTTAATGATTCCCGAGCTAGAATATTTACTTAGATCTTAGTTACATACTGTCAAAAGTTCCCATTTTACTCCAGGGCTGTAATTGTTCCACCTAATAAGTACTTGTCGAGAGAACGATTATTGATAAAAGGTTCTGTTCAGATGTGCTTTGTGTTTTCTTTTACGTATGAAAGTAACTCTTCTCTAATAAATAGTCTCAATATGTGATTCATTGCTTTGGTGTCAAAGGTTTACGGAGACTTGAAAGTGAAGTTTAATCATTCTATACCTAGAGCCAAAAGATACATTTATGGGCTCATAACACTTCTCTTTGATAGAGCATTTTTGGTGGGACTCTGAATGGTACTTTAAAGCAATGCTTTTTATTAGAATTTTTCCTTTGCTATGAATGGCTACATCATATGATGGGCTAAAGAAAATCAGTAAAGCATCATAAATAGATGATAAACACTCCATGTGTGACATCATAGTATCCTTTTACTACCATGTCCAGTAGATGCCAACAATACTTTGCAAATGGAAAAATAACAATTTTATAATATTCTGCTGGCATTCTAAATGCTCCAGCACAGGGGCCCACAAGGGAGTTTAATGTAATAAATTCCTGCGGGGGAGATGGCAATATCTCCTACAACAGGAAGGCATTTAAAATCTGCACTGTATAGGGCCCTTTACACATGTGCATTGCCAGCTCTTCATATAGTTCTTGGGAGAGCTAGAAGGTTGTGACGTGCTATCAGTTTTTCCCGGTTCACAGGAAGTCACATTGAAGTGTGCCACCCTTCTTCCCTTTCCTAAAGGCTAGGGAAACAGGAAGTAACTAGAAACATGTGTAATTCAGAAAATCTGTGACTGTGTGTGTGTGTGTGTGTATGTTCATGTGTTTATCTGTATGAGTGTGGGTCAATGAGCCATTAAGTGACTGGTCAGTGGTTTTCTAAGGGATAACAAACATTTTTATGGTGTGTCTGACTGTGTAACAGGGGTTTGGCAACCTTTGGCACAGCAGGTATTGTGGACTACATCTCCCATAATGCTGGCAAAACATCAGGGGAAATGTAATCTACAACATCTAAAGTAACAAACGTTGCCTACCCCTGGTATATACAGTATATGTAAAGTATTAATATAGATCTATGTCCGATGAATCATAATAATATCCTAATTTTAGTCGTGTGCCCTTAAATAGTGTTTGTAATATTAATTTGGAAATGTCTCTTATTCGCTGCAGTAGTAATAGTAAATGCAGTATCCGCTTTCTTTCTGTACTAACTGCACATTATGTCTTCTCTGTGTTTCCAATACCCAATTTACTCATTATTGGAACCACCTGGAATACGTGTTATACTACTGAAACCAAGATCAGAGCAAGAGATTCCTACATATGTTGTTTGTGCTGTAAACAAAATTCTGAAGCAATATACAGACCAGACCCTTCTTGTTCTGACTTGCTGTATAATGTATTCAGTGAGGGAAACAGATGTGACAGGTTTTCTAAAAATATATTTTGTCTTTGTGAGCAGTACTCTAAAAATATAACTTCTTCTTTTTTTTTTTTTTCTTTTTTTTTTGAAACCAGAATATACTTTTAATCTATAACATTGAAAACTCGATCTTTGCTTATTTTTGTCTCCCTTTGCATATTCAGACCAGATTTTATAAAAACGACATTAAAAAAATAATAAAAAAAATATATATAATGTGTGTGTGTGTGTATGTATGCCTTGCAAATGGTTGATAACAGTCTATAACCACACATAAAAAGAATAAGAAATGGTAAAAGTGCTATATATATATATATATATATATATATATATATATATAATTAATTTATGTATTTATCTTTTTATCGAAATAAACATGGTAATTGGCAACCACAAAAATTCCTGAAAGGGACACTGTAAGCACTATAAACATTTAATCTAATTAAATTGGTTAGAGTGCCTGGAATCTACTGGCCCTATCACTCCAATTCAGTGTTCAAAAGCAAACCTTTTTTATAATGGTGCATGCTTATATTTATTTATCCATTTTTCCCCCCCCCTTATTTGTTAATATTGCAATGTAATACTCATATTTTGTTTCTTCTTTTCTTGACTCAGAGTCCATGGAAGAGCTTCCCGAATCCAATGAAAGAGCCGTACAGCGCTTCTACTTTAATTTGACTTCATTTCCTAGTGAGGAGCTGATCACGTCAGCCGAACTACGGATATTTCGAGAGCAGATCCAAGAGCCATTTGAGAATGATACGAGCAAGCTTCATCGGATTAATATTTATGATATAGTAAAGCCAGCAGCAGCTACCTCTAGGGGCCCTGTTGCAAGACTATTGGACACGAGGTTGATACATCACAATGTAAGCAAATGGGAAACCTTTGATGTTACACCAGCCATTATAAGATGGATTGCACATAGACAGCCTAACTATGGACTTGTTGTGGAAGTGACTCCTTTGGACAATGACAAAAACCTTCCTAAGAGGCATGTGAGGATTAGCAGATCATTAGCTCCAGATAAAGACAACTGGTCTCAGATAAGGCCACTGTTAGTAACTTATGGACATGATGGGAAAGGACATCCCCTTCATAAGAGAGAAAAGCGACAGGCAAAGCAACGGCAGAGGAAACGTCTTAAGTCAAGCTGTCGGAGACATCCGTTATATGTGGACTTTAGTGATGTTGGCTGGAATGATTGGATTGTTGCACCACCTGGCTACCATGCCTTTTACTGCCACGGAGAATGCCCCTTCCCACTGGCAGATCATTTAAACTCCACCAACCATGCTATTGTACAGACATTGGTAAATTCTGTTAATTCAAACATACCGAAAGCTTGCTGCGTACCTACGGAACTAAGTGCTATCTCCATGCTCTATCTTGATGAGAATGAAAAAGTTGTATTAAAGAATTATCAAGACATGGTTGTGGAAGGTTGTGGTTGTCGTTAGGAGAACTTTGAACATACATTCACAAAAGAAAAAGCAAAAAAACACAAAACAAAGAAAGGACACTTTAAGATTTCCCATTGGAGATTTTGTTTTTTAATTTATGCAATAAAAATGCTAAAAAACAGTTATTTTGAAATATAAATATATATATATATTTATGTCTACAAAAAGTTGAGAACAAATATTTTAATCAGAGAAATGTTCCTTTTTAGTTGTACATTTTATATGGGGATTATACCCAGCACATGAAGTATAATGGTCAGATTCTTATTTTGTATTTATTTACCATTATAACCACTTTTGTTTTTCTAGAAATGAAATAGCTGTTTTTTGTATTTATATGTAATCAAAAGGAAAAAAAAATATAGGGTTTGTAAATATATATTTTTTTTTTTCTCAATTCTTAAAGCAGATTCATTGTGTGTGTATTTAAGTTGAACGTAACACATGGAAAGTCAGTATTGCAGTGTATTTTTTTACTTTCTAAATGGCTACTGTCTGTTTTTTAGATCCGTGAGATATTGGGTCATTCATCCTAGTAACTCTCTGTAATATTGTATTGTGCAACTCTCAGGCATTATACAGTGTGGTCTGTGAAAATTTTTAATAACTTTTTTTACAACCTTAACAAATTTTACAACTCTCGCCATCATAATTGCTGACTTTTTTTTTTTTCTTTTTTTTTAATATACAAATCCCGCAATTATTGCGCTAATTGTTACAAAATGTGCATGTTGGCCAAAAGGATGGAAAAGAAAGTCCAAATAAAGTGTTACAGCATGCAAATATTTGTATGTTGGAGAAGAAATTTGAAATCCGTTTAATAAAAGCTGGCTCTAATATTGGATGGGAGTCGTTCTTTACAACAAAATATGCTCCGAACTATTTTTAAAAGATTTTTAAAGTAAATTATTTAAGTAAACTTTGAATGCCATTACACTTAATGTGGCTTAATCTACATTCCCTTCTCTTCATTGCTTTCAGTCTGCATTTTCCTCTATTTGGCTAAACCTATCATCTTGTATTCTAGTCACGTGCTGCTCCAATATAGTATTTTTTTTATTTTTATTTTATCTCCCCACCCCTCCCTTTTCTGTGCCACTATAGCAATCTTGGTGTGAGTGTGTTTTCATGGGGAAGATTTGGGTGCGTTTTTGGAATGTCAAAACAGAGTTGATCAATAAATGGTAAAGCTATGACTTCATCCAGTTTTTCTAAAGTAATAATATGTGTCTGGCTCTTCTGTTCTAAACATCTGTTTGTTTAAAATAAACCACAAAAATGGTTTTTCAATTAGAATGGAACGTGATGTATAAACCAAAAGAAATAAACAGCAGCTCTGGGATGCACACATACACATTATGGTGGTGCTCGGTAATACACTTACCGTGGCGCTCGGTAATACATTCATACTCCCATGCACATAACACTGGAGCTCTCTAATACATTCATACATGCTACACGTTGCCACAGTGCTATGTAATGCATTCATACACACAGCACAGTAAATATTTGTAATGACTGCCTGCACATAAATGTGGGACACAGCCATATGCACACAGTACATTACTGTGGCATCCTGTAGTGCATTTATCCAGCTTGCCCACAGTGCTGCCACCAGAAATGTTGGGGGCCTTACAGAGCCAAGTCTATCCACAGGGCTGGCCCTGAGTCTGCTTACAGGGCCTGCCACTCATTCCACACTTTCTTGCAGACACTTAGAGCTGTAGTCTGTGTTTGTTGGGGATGTAATGTGTCTGTTTAGAGAATGTAGTGTGTCAGGGAGGAAGTGTGTATGTAGTGGGTGCAGTGTGTTAATGTGTGTGTTTGTAGATTTGATGCTGTGTATGTTTATATAGCTGATGTCATGTAATCGGTGTAGTTGATTTAGTGTGTATGCTGAAAGATGGACTGTGATGTGGGATGGGGATTTAATAAAGGGACACTCCACTGCCCAAATACAAAATAAATAAAAATCCCTGTTTAAAATATATACCCCAAATGTAAACTTGCATGCATTTAATTATTAATTTTTGTCCTCCAGTGAATACATATAAACAGTTTGCAAAACCTGCAGTTCTCTTGTCTGCAGCTTTTGCAAGCTCTCCCCTTCTAGCCCAGGCCAGACGTTCTGTGGCTGTTCAACCACAAACTTCCCAAGGCAGCTCATAGAGAAATCTTTGCAAGGCAGGTGCTTCAAGCAATTGCTGCATCCTGAGTTTAGATCCACTGAGCTAACCAAACTAGGAAGTGACATTACCCGTTTTCTGCTTGAAAGCTAAGGTGGTGTAATCAGGTTAAATCATAAGTGTCAATTTATATTGGAATCTGTACTTTTCACACTCTACATAGTGCACACTCTACATGCATAAAGTTTTTAAGCAAGCTAAAGTGTTCTTGGGTCTGGACTGTCTCTTTAATTATTTACTTCATATATCTTTACCTCCTCCCTGCTCTTACTGCTGGCTGGGGATGGGGAGGGGGATACTGCATTCTCTGGTGGTCAGGTGTTACTCGGAGACAGTATGGGTGCACGTGTTGTTTTTGCAGGCCCCAGGACAGTAGTATTGGAGCATGATAACCCATGGTACCACTCTGACAGCCGGGGCTCGCAATAGCGAGGAATGTGAACCCAGCGGAGGAGCAGACGGACAGCCTCCTGGGCTCCCTACGCAGTGAACGCATGCATTGTTGATCTCCCTCCCTGTGAGCTGTGTGTGTGTGTGTGTGTATGTATATATAGTTTAATGTTAATAACAAATATCTGCACACCAGTCAAGCCATAAGACTTGCTTTTCCCACAGAAATCCCAAATCTGCAGTGATGTTACAACCGCAAAGGATTCTGGGTGGGCATATGCAAATGAGTTTAACAAAGAATAACATTTTTGCCTCATTCCATTTGATATTCTATTTATAGTTGGTTCTGTTAATCTTTTTTTGTCTTTTGGGGACAGGGCCTCTTTCAAGTTTACGACCTGTACCCCCCTCCCCCCGATGGTGCCCTGCCTGCATGTTACTATAGTGCTCTTGGATGCACTCATACACACAGCAAATTTAACACAAAGTTCTGTAATATTTAGACCATGTTTAGTGTCCTATTACTCTAATACACAACTCCATAAAGAGCATAGTTGTAGGTTCTGTAATAGAAAAAAAAAAAAAAAATATATATAAAATATATATATAAAGAATATAATAATCTCCTGGCCTCTTTTATACAACGCATACTGCTGTGTTGTGGGAGAGATTCAATCAAGCTGAAGTGCAGCAGACGTAAGAGTATGAGACCATACTAGCTGCCTGTGTCCATTAATCAGGGTGACCGACAGGTATGGACCTGTGTTGTTCAGTTCTGAGATACACTGATCTAAAAGTACAACTGCTTTCATATTGTTTCCCCTCATACTGGCAACAAACCTGTCAGTAAAACCAGGTTTTCCTCTGTCTGACAGCTCTGATGTAGTCAGCCGGTCCCAGCCGGGACACCGGCAATAAAATTGTTATATAGAGGGAGAGAGGAAGCATGTTTGCAGTTTTCCTTATGAGTGCGTGCAAATTGTCAGTCACCCTCGTGACTCATTTTTACATGAATATGGTCGAAACGTGCGTTTGAGGGTTTCTGCCTCTACGATGAGGAATGTTCATATAGTAATTATTTTTTTAATCGATTTCATTAGTCTCATTTTACACATATTGGTTACACAGTAATCAAGCACAATAATAACACGTTCCGAGAGAAACAAATGTAATAAGTCAAGATTAATACTGTAAACTGGGGAATAATAGCTGGACTATGGGTGGTGTCTTCACTGGAGAGGAGGCTAATTAGATGAAGTAATGATGTCATATGTGTTGAACTGCAAGAGACTGTGTAGTGGAGGTTAGATGAGGTCAGTAATAAACTAGGTAAATATGAGGGTAAGAATGGGTTTAAAGTTGGTTTCCAAGGCTGTATGATGGTGGGTGAGGATTTTTTCAAGAGTCAGAACTAAGACAAAGACTGGGAGGAACTGTGAAGTAATGCACGATAGAGTGTGTGATAATGGAATGGAAGCAAGGGGATAAATAAAGACAGTGTAAATTGGATGATTGGATTTAGGGATATTTTCATTTATAAGGATTTGCGCATTCTATAGAAGGATTATAGTTGTCTGATATCAGTTTTATGTTGTCTGTCATAAATACTTTGTAACTGTTCATGGAACAAATTTTGGAAAGATGGGAAGAGAATTGCCCAGTCTGGTGACTGAAGAGTAAGAATGTGACAAGACAAGTTTAATCGTACACTATGTTGACTGTAAAGGCTGCAGCTGATAGTAACATATCACACCCCCTTGATAAGAAGTGATCCTTATTTACACACATAAACATTGATGCCAAATGTTCACATGCCTTTCTGGCTACAAGTTACCATTTTTCAAATGCATACACCCACCAGGGTAATATGCTATGTCTCAAAGCACTTATCATTTCAAGTTCGATCCACTAATAGAACATCATGGTTATAGACCTTTGGGTTGAGGATAAACAGAAGGTTCGCAAAATCAATTTGTGGCAGGAAGTTCTGCAGGGACTTTGTGATGTTTTTGAGTAAACATAGGCCAAGATCCCTAAGGAATTTTTCCAACACATTTTTGATTACAAGCCTCAAAGAATTCCGGCCGGTCAAGATTCAGGAATTCGGGTCCTACATTATGCTACAAAGATATGCCTAATAAAGTGGCCACTGAGTTGAGTAACCATTTTCAACAATCCTCTCGAGCAGAAACAAATGACTCCTTGTTTAAATAATGGATAATAGCGTATATGCTTGAACATCATTTCTAAAGCATACTTTAAATTAAAATAAATGTACTAAATGATTTTTAACTTGACATTTCCAAAATATGTACTCTAGCTCCCAAGTCACTGTCAAATTGTTCCATAAAATATAAATGAAAAACAAACTTCTCAAAGGTTTGCTGCCAACCTTTTTGTTTATACTGATGGATCATAACATCTTTCTAATAAACATATTTTTCCTATTGCTAAATAAAATGGACATAAACACTCAAGATTTGTATCTGATGAATTTCCTGAGTACACTAAACTTTTTATCACTTCCCTAGACAATGTTACCAAATGTTATCTTTGCATTGTGTGCATTATCGTAAATTTAGCTGGTCATTCTTATTGGCTCGTTTCACAATTTCCCTGTCACACGACTTCCTTTTTAGTTAAATAAAGTATTTGGCTCTATTTTTCACTGATTAAGCAAGTTCACTTGACCTCCTTCCAAATCTGCAATCTGTATATTGAAAGTGGCGAAACGAAAGTTGTCTGACGTCTGACTTTCATGTGAGTGACTGTATGGTGGGAAATCCAGAGCAGTGGTTCTTAACCTTTTTGACTTGGACACATTATACATGTATACTTATACATCCATGATTCAATTTAAAAATTGAATAGACCCATAGACCCAATCTTAATCTGTTATTATTTATTATATAGCAGAATTCATTCTGTAAGACTCATTCTAGCCTTTTCCTTGTGTCTAAATGGGTCTCCACTGTAGGGCATACGGCAGGGTCCGTATTAACCAATTTATTGTGTACAGTTGCTTGGGGGCGGATAAATATGATATGTCTGTTCTAGCTACTGATTACCCACTGAAAAGGCATGGGTACTCAAATCTAGGTCCCTGACCCAAAGGTTTAGAACAACTGCTCCAGCGGGACAAAATATACATATAAATATATATTTTAGGCATTTTCTCTGACGGGTCCGTTAGGCCTATTTTACACATAGACAAAAAGAGAAAAGTTAATTTTCTTTTTTCACTCTGTGTAGCGAATAGACACATTTATTTTATATATTTATTTTTTTTGTCTGGGAAAAAATACTTTCTCACATGTTTCTCTGATATTTCTGCCCTCCAGTCATTCAAAGAATTTACACCAGATTAATACATTTTCTCTGTACAATCAAAGATTTATCATCGTTAAAAAAAGCAGATGTATTTTTTTTTCCCTGTAACATTATTTATTTTACTTGTTTTACAAAGCTCTGTGAACCAGCCCTTAATATAGTCCATGTTTGAGAACACTTTGACACGCTACTGGGAGGGAATAATTATCCATCTATTTTACTACACAGCTTTTTTTTTTTTCTAAATAGTTGCTTTTTTATTGATTTCAAGGGGCAACTAATTGCCATATGGTAGCTTTATGTTTAATGAAGATCAGGAAACATAGTTTGTGAAAAGCTTTTGTTTAGTAACTGCAACGTTTCAAAAACTGTTTTATACTTCCTGACAGG